GCCGAGCTCGTCAACAGGAAGAGGAAGCTGGAGAAGCGCAGCGCGCCAGGCGACAAGTCCAACCATAAGGGTCAGCCTGAGGCGCGGGCGGGGCAGCACACACGTGTCTAGAGGGAGGGTGCAAACGAGGCCAAGGCAGCCGTGATGGTGGAGTGACAGGACCTAAGGAGGCAGTTACCAGTCAGCTCTGCAGCAATAACCGAGGCGAGGAGGAGGGCGGGAGACAGAGGGCGGGAGGGGAGAACGGAGAGAGACCAACAACACTCAGTGGATGAAAGACAGTCCCTTCAGCAAATGGTGCTGGGAAAACTGGGTCTTCACACGCAAAAGAATGAAACTAGACCCCTAGCTTATTACACCACTCACAAAAATCGACTAGAAATGGATTAAGGACTTGAATGTAGGACGTGAAACCATAAAGAAGAAAACATATGTATTAAGCTCCCTGACATTGGTCTTCGCAATAATTTTTTGGATATGACACCAAAAGCAAAGGCAACAAAAACAAAAAAAAGTAAGTGGGATTACATGAAACTAAAAAGCTTTTGCAGAGCAAAGGAAACCATCAACAAAATGAAAAGGCAACCTACAGAATGGGACAAAACTCTGCAACCCATACATCTGATAAGGGGTTAATTTCCAAAATATATAAGGAACACATAAATTAATAACAAAAATAAATCCAATTAAAAAGTGGGCAAAGTGGGATTTCCCTGGCGGTCCAGTGGTTAAGACTTTGCCTTCTAATGCAGGGGGTGTGGGTTCAATCCCTGGTCAGGGAGCTAAGATCCCATATGCTTCATGGCCAAAAAACCAAAACATAAAACAGAAGAAATACTGCAACACATTCAATAAAGACTTTAAAAATGGTCCCCATCAGAGGACCAGTGTGGTGGGGCGGGGGTATGGTGGAGCTTGCAGGGCGGGGGACCAGGCCTGGGAGCCCAGCAGGCTCTCGGGGGCCCGAGTGGGCGGGGCAAACGCCCTCCGCTCCTTCTGCTGCTCCTCAGGTGCTGGAGTGCCCTCCCGTCTGCCTCCCTCCTACGCCCCCAAGGCCAGCGCAGCCCAGACGGGAACTCTGAGGGCGTAGGACCCCGCCCGAGAGCTGGGCAGACTTCCCCGGCCAACTGGGCGGGGCAAACGCTGGGCGCGCTCCCCCCACACCCCGATCCGAGCCCCCAAGGGTCCCTCCAGGTGTGGGAACCCCTCGCCCCTCTCAGCCACCCCTCAGGGGTGCCAGTCCTGTCCGGCCTCCACTTCTCTTCCCCCCTCAGTGTCCCCACGTCCTACTGGTTCGCTTGGGGGTTCCTCCCATCTCCTTGGGCCTTGAGGTCCCCCAGCAGCATCCAGCAGGTGCCCTAGCTGTGGGCAGACGTTGTAGGGAGACGCAAACTCCGCGTCTTCTCACACCACCATCTTGACTCCGCCCTCTCGAGAAGCTTGGGATTTTATTTTTAGTAATTTCCCAACAGTACATAATCTGCTTACTATGCCTCCTGTTCACTATGTCTCTCCCACTAGAAGCAGTGGCAGCTGGGCCTGGAGAGGAGACCATGTACACCTCAGCCTCCAGGGGTCTGCCCGCCGGGGTCCCCACTCAGGACCCCGAACCCAAGGAGGTGCTGGGTCTGGGCCAACTGTCATCGGAGCTGCTTGTGATGGTGCTGAGCCACGTGCCCCAACACATTCTGCTCGGGTGCTACCGCCAGGGGTGCCGGCACTGGCACGACCTGGTGGACTGCCAGGCCCTGTGGCTGAGAATCCTGGCCCAAGGCCACGCCACCCTGTCACCCATCCTCCACACCTACCTGCCCCCGCCAACGACCCCAGGCCCTGTGTCCTGGGCCGCTTCTGCGAGAGCACACCCTTAGGACGCAACCTCCTCCCGAACCCCAATGGCGAAGGCTTCCTGAAATGGACGGTGCCGACTGGAGGAGATGCCTGGGGGGCAGAGGAAAACTGGGAGGTCACTCCCAGGGCCTGTATACAGGCCAGCTTCCTGTCTTCCTACAGGTGGTGTCAAAAGAAGCAGGCGTCGGACCTGGAGGAGGAGGGTCTGTGGCCAGAGCTCCTGGACAGTGGAAAGACTGAGATTTTTGTCTCTGACTGGTGGACAGACCAACAGTACGCTGACAGTTTACATGGGCTAACTGTCCAACCTCTAGATGCCAACCAGGCCGTCCTGCATCATTACTCTCCTTTGCCTTTTCCCATCCAGCAGGGTAGAAAGAGCTTCTCCTTTGAGGCTAGCCACGTGTTCTCCAGCCTTAAGAAGGCTGTCCGCTTTGTGTCTTTTGAACACTTGGTCCGGGACATTGATTTCTGGTCTGAGCAGTAAGGAGTCTATCTGTCCCACTCCAGTGTGATTGTGCGGGTCCATCTGCCCTAGTCAAGGGCTGCCCTTGCAAAACTACCTGACCGTGCCTTCCAGGAGCTGGGCCCATTGGCAGGGCCATCTCAGTAATCAAGGGCTTGTAGCTCCCAGGCATCCTGGGATCTCATGAATCCAGTCAAAGTTCCTACTGGGTCCTGTCTTCAGGTTCTGGAAGCTACTAGGAGAAATTTCCTCCATCAGACTTACTGGCTGCTGCTGCTCTAAGGCAGCCCCTGTTCTACTGAGTGGAGACACAGGGGTGAGCACAGGGAAATGCTGGATCGGGAGAGGGCTCCTGCCCACCCCCACGACAGGCCCCTCTGGTTCAGCCCCGGTGCCCCCTGCCCTTGCTTCCTCATGTTTCTGCATCAGAGGCTTTACTGGTCCCGTGCAGGAAGCTCTCTCCTCCCATCTGAACAAGAACCTCATCCCTGTGGCTGAGAAAATTCCAGCCCCTAACTTTCTGTGGTTTCAAGACTGGGACCAGGACTCAGAGCTGAAAGTTAAACTAGCTCAAAAAATGTTTGGAGACAGAGGGTTCTGCCCACACTGGGAACAACGAAATGGTCCCCTGAGCCCAACCCTACCCTGAATTGTATGGTGTATAAAATTACTTTGTTATTTTGAAATTCTTTTTTTAAACATGGAGAGAATAAGTGAGCACTATATCTGCCAAACAAAACAAAACAAAACATGGTCCACAGCAAAAATAAAAGTCTTCAAAAAAATTTTAAAAAGTGGGCAAAGGATCCGAATAGACATTTTTCCAAAGAAGATATTCACATAGCCAAGAGGTACATGAAAAGGTGCTCAACATCCTTAATCATTAGGGAACTGCAGGTCAAGACCACAATGACATATCACTTCACACCTGTTAAAATGGCTATCATCAAAAAGACAAGAAATAACAAGTATTGGTGAGGCTGCCGAAAAAAAGGGAACCCTTGTGCACTATGACAGGAATGTAAATTGGTGCAGACACTGTGGAAAACAGTACGGAGGTTCCTTAAAAAATGAGAAATAGAACTACCAGAGGAGGAGTCAAGGTAGAAC